ACAATACAGGCGAATATTTTAATTGGTCCGCTGAACCGAATACCTACCGGCGCGCGAGTCGTAAAACAGGTGTAAAATGTTATATTTTACAACGTTTCTGGGTGGGGCGTTCCTAGAAATCATAAATGTGAATTAATTATGTATAAAACTGCAGTCTATTGTTGTAGTGGTGGACTAACGTCATCGTGCATGTGCTGGAGATCTGCTGCTGAAAATAAAAACCGCCTTCATTTTATTTTTACGAAATATGTTCTTCGCCTTTTTTGGACAGGCAGATAACTTTTCAGAGTGGCCATTGTACATACTTGACAATCGCACCTCGAACATGAATACCAGGAATAAGGATGGCAAGATTTTCCAAGTCAACGTAGTACCATTTACACATTTTTCAGGTACTGTAATTAGTCTTAAAGCATTATTAGTCACAATTGTTATGAGAATTCTTGAACATTCTGTCTCAGTATATTGATTATAAAGTCACAAACACGATTACAAAGCTTCTTATATATTTCGTTCTTAACTTTTATTGTCTAGTTGTGGATGTAAAAACTAATGATATTGAAGATATACGTAGGTATACAATAGTGTATAATAGTACAACTACTATGCCGTCTCGCTTTGGCAGCTTTAGAGCCGTAGTGGGGTGATTTTGAGCACTTTGAAGTAAAATGACTTGTGTGACAGTGATTTTCATTGTTCATTAGATTCCACGCTGGATCATATGTCTATACAATCATTCCTTACAACAAACGTAGCCTACATAAAAATACTCTTTTGATTTTTTAGTAGCAATACTAAATATGTACATAGCTATGTTCAAAACAGATAGGATACGACGTATTCACCTGCTTGAGACTTCAAGTAGGCAGACTTACGCGCCTGATAATTTTATTACCAGGCCGTACATACTTACACACTACACAATAAAAAACCTAAAAGGCATTTTAGATGACACCTAAATAGCACCTAATTACAAACTCACACGAAAGCACAAGCTCACACCAATTACGTCGCATCTAGACTTTTCTTTTCCCTCCATTCTGGCCACAGATAAAGTATACAGCCATGCATGTGTCGTGATTAATCAGGGTGTGCGTTTAGGCGCGGCTGCAGGCTCGGTAATTAGATTTAAGAACAACTGGGCGGCGTCAGCGAGAGAATGGCCTGCATTAATTTGAGCTTCTCTAACGAGGGCGACGGACGTTACGGACTGGGTAGGACCTTGGAATAGGAGTGCCGTGGAGATGGTGTTTGTCGTGGATTTCTTGTTTTTGCTTATTTGTAGTGTGTGTGTGTGTGCCGTGGATGCACTTTTTGTTTAGTTGTATTGCAACGACATTCCTAATAATAATGTAAAAGTTCCTGAAACTAAGCTTAATCAAGCGTAACAAAATAAGTTAAATTTACTTACTATATAAAAGAAATTGGAACGAGTCTACAAAAATAAAAGTAATTTGATAAAAAATTTAAAAAGCAAGTCTAAATCTTATAAATTAGCCATGGTATTTCCAAATCTTTTATAACTATTAACAAAGAAAAATATCCATATACAACTATAACTTAAGCATAACTTCGAAACATATACATGGCTTTTGTAAACAGTAAATTAAATAAATTAAATAATAAGTAATATTAAATAAATACATATTCAGTAAATGAATATGAATTAAGTTACATTCCAAACAAAAAGAAATGTCAACTACGCCGTAGCACCGTCTCTACGCCAGCCTACGCCTTCGTAGTCAAGCTGTGTCCGGCGTAGCAGTGTGCTACGCGTCCACCACGCTATGTTTATTGCAATCTGGCGGTTAAATGCCCGTCTGCTTAGTCCGCTTATACGGCCCTTTTGTTACACAGGATTGCAACCCCCGTATATTTTATGGTATTTCCTTTTAAATAGCTTAAATTAAATGTTTATAGGGTACACACGTATGTTCTTTATTGTCTGCTAATGGTTTACATTTTTTGGAGTAATTAGTGCAAGTTTAATTAAAAAAAAATCCTATCCTTGGATTTTGTATGTATCCTAAATGATGAAAAAGTTTTTGTTTGTATAACTATCGAAAGAAAAATCGCGGATTACTTACGTGAATATACTAAAAAAAGCTCTACTAATTTTGAGCCACAGAGGGGTCCTTCTTCATGAGCAGTGTGCGAGGTCGCAGCGATGTCACGCAGCCTACTGGCTGTGGTCAGAGCTTTTCTCAGTATATTCACGTGAGTCACCCGCGATGTTTACTTAAAAGGTTTTTGAACTGAATTATATCATGATTTTCTCAGAATAACTGATTTTCTTGATTTTCATATTCCACTCCAGAACCAGTAACTAATTAATCGCCTTCCTAACCTAAAAACTTATATTCAAGACCACTTTCAATCTATACACCAATAAAACATTTTGTTCATTACTTAGCCTAACATAGCACAATACGATAGCCATATTGACCCTAAGATTATCAAAATCATCTTCATAATCAAAATAGGCTTTATTAGGTAAGTGAAGTTGGACAAGCGATTATGGCATTACAGGCTTACTCTCTCACTGACAGAGCACAATTGATAAGAGGGATATGGAGGGATATATATAGGGTAAATGCTATTGGAATGTGATTATTATAATCAGACACCTTTATTACTGTTTAGGTACTAGAGGAAATTATGTTGTTTGTAACTAGTTTTAACCGTTTGTGTGTCTAAAAATTGCATAGAGACAAATTGGGAAAGTGAAAGACACATTGTATTTTCTATTGGCTCTCATATGTTATCTAGGGGTTAATAAAACTTAGGAATCACGCTATTATTATAATAATTCTCTTCAATTTCAAAACTGTACAAAAAATGACGATGATAACATTACTTATTCAATGAGTTTCTTTATAAACTTTTTAATATAACTTGTTTAAGACAAAAGTGAATAATTGTTAAGTTACAGCCCATTTCAATAACATCTCATATAAACAGCATGCTTGAAACGGTTCAAAATGCAAACCCCCTTCAGAATTTAATAAAACAATCGTCATAAATCATAATAAGCTAATCTAATCTGCGTGCTGGTCATCTGCAGGGGTTATTGAACTATCTCCCTGACCCTTGCCCTTGCATCCCTTTGTCCCGACTTAAATAAAAGGTTTGATTTTGTGTTGTAGGGTGCTTGATCAATATTTACTGAGCGGACCGAAGGACCGACCGATCTGCATACCTTTTACAATGGTCCTTTGAGGTCCTTTCCAGTTTATGTACCCTTTGTTTTCGGAAAAGTATCCAAATCATTAGCCGGGTTGGTTACTGTGGTTGCTGGTTTGATGTGTGTTTTTAACTTTTAGACTATTTATATGGTAGAAATATTTTTGTGTTAGTTTGGTGTGAAATATTACTGAAATTATTATTCGTTTTATTTTAAGTTAGTTGAATGTAGATTTACTTCGGTTGATTAATTTAAAACAAGATAAATTCAAACATACTTCATTCAACTGCTACTATCACCAGTTATAGAGAAATAGATTATACGAAAGCAATCCATTTTCTTGAAATTTACCTTGCTTTGGAACTTGTAATATACACATTTTTTGTTAGTCGTTCCTCTAACACACATAGTTAAGAAGCACAGCACTGCTTGCGAAAATGACAGCTGCAGCAAGCAGCTTTAATGGCTGTCCTAAGGTCCACACATTGAGGCTCCCACGCATATCACCGTCATCTTTATACCACCGCAATAAAGTTCATTTTCGTATAAATAGGGGATGCTAGGGACTGGAACCGAACCATCAATGGATTGTTATAGAGAATTTATTGTGTGAGCACACGTTCGGGAGCTTGTAACGGGGTGTATTGCAATCTATTTGTTACTAGAAGGACTTAGAATATAATATTGTTTTTGTGCATAGTTATTGGGAAGCGATAATGACTTGCAGAAAAATTCGGTTAGTTTCAAAAACAATCTGAAGTAAGTTGATGGCTGAAATATGTTTTAATTTGTTTGTGATTTTTAAATGTTCTTAATGCAAACTCAAAATAATTCATTTGCCAGTATTTAAGAATTAAAATAAAGAACCAAACCTAACGACGAAATTGCTACGACAGGCTACGAAATAGTCCTCAAGATAGTTAATATGCGCTAGGTGCGAATTACTTAAAATAAACTTTCGCCTTCTCTTCAAGATAAAGCAAACTTGATGAACATGGCATTCACGTTGATTGTGAAAGCTCACACAATACAGTGTACTAATCTATTGCCTAATTTGCATTCATACGAGCATCATAAAAGCAATCTGTCCCCCTTGGCACACGTTGACTATAAATTCGTTAATATAGTGGCACATAAGGTGGCACCTCTTAGACGTAGGTAAGCAGATTGTGACGAGTCCGAGCCACCTCTAACAGGCTTCGTTAACTCGATCTACTGCACCCCCGTCCCAACTCATTATGCCAACACTGTACGACGTAAAATCACTATAGTTACCTCACTTTAATTATAGAGCAGTGCAGGTTCTGTCTAACTATTTCGGAGAGTATTTAACTTAATTTAAAAATATTAGACTTATTTCTTTAGAAAACAAGACTTTCTTTAATTTTGTTTAAAATATACAATTATATCTTGTATAAAGTCACTCTAAACTCAATTCAGACACAAATGTATTTCGGTAGTTTATTCACTTCGCGTTATTGTCATTCTGGCCAGAACTGTACGTCTGTGGTGACGGTGCTTGCAGTGGTGGTGGTTGTTCGTGGGCCTGGTGTCGACCGGCTGCCGGCAGATCGGCTGCTAAATGCCGCAAGAGGCGTGCGCCATCCCGCTTGCACCGCCGCGCTCGCCGCATCTCTCGCTCGCGCCGGCGCGAACACGTGTTTATTTGTATGTTTTATCCTTCGGCGGCTTTAAACCCAACCCACCCTGACCGCAAAGTGCGCTCCGCCGCCCGCCGCGCCCGCGCGCCGTCGCCGCCTCTCGCTCGCCGCCGCCGCTGCCGCCGAGCCGCACCGACTCACCCGCGAAACTTTGTCCGAAGTCGACGGGCGCGGACGTACGCCGCGTATTAATAGCCACCGCGAGTGGTCACCGCAACCGAGCGCTGCGAGCCCCACGCGCCACGAGTCGCACCACGACCGCGCGCCACGTCGCACGCGTCCCGCGCCACGCACCCCATACGCGTAAACACGACAACGAAGTAGCGTGCGCGAAAGCGAAACTCAAAACAAAACTACAAAAAAATTAAAAAACTTCGTCGTCAACGGTGAAAGTGAGAGGGACGTGCGTGCGGCGATCGCGTAAATACGCGGTGCGCAAAAAGTGCCGCCGTCAGTGAAACTAGTGAAAAGTTTTTTCGCCGCGTACGGGGGACCACCCCTCAGCGCCGGAAAAAATCGGCCCCTCGCGTCCCTCGCCCGCCCGCCGCCGAACTTTTCATTCACCGGGGAAAAAAGTGTGGCAAGGCCGCCGTGACGTCACCGTGTCAAGTAGCCACGCGCTCGTTCCCTAGCAACGTGTTGTCACGTCTCATCATCGTCCCTTCTTGTCAAACTTAAGACAGTCTAAGTGCGGTCGACTTCTTGGCCTAGTGTGTGACTATGTCGCCAGTGTGTGACGATGGTGTTCGGTGGGTGTGAGCGTCGGTGACGGGTGTAGTAGTGTCATGTAGCAGTGGCTGGAGGCAGTAGACTCTATGTGTAGCACGCAGCGCGCGCGGGTGTCGAGGATGCACCTGACGGGCGCCAGCAGCGGCGCGGTGTCGCCTGACACCAGCTCCACGCTGCTGCACGAGACCTACACGAAGATGACATCCGATATCCTCGCGGAACGAACACTTGGCGACTTCTTATCTGAACATCCGGGGGAGTTGGTGCGAACGGGCAGCCCTCACTTCGTGTGCACTGTGTTACCTCCTCATTGGCGATCAAACAAAACTCTGCCCGTGGCGTTCAAAGTGGTTGCTCTAGGTGACGTAGGGGACGGCACGCTGGTGACGGTCAGAGCTGGTAACGACGAGAACTGCTGCGCTGAACTGAGGAACAGTTCGGCAGTGATGAAGAACCAGGTCGCCAAGTTCAACGATTTGAGATTCGTCGGCCGCAGCGGTCGCGGTGAGTGCTGAAGGTGCAGTTATGTGATACAATGAATATTAGTGATTTCATAATATAGCCCTAAAAACAAGCCAAAACTGAAGCATGTCTAAAACTTTACAATAACTCATATCAATAGTTAAAAGTTAGTAAATAAAACTACAATCGGTAAATTGGAATTAAAACTCGCTTTAAAACAAAAAACACGGTGAAAAATCGCGACGGCTTTCCCGAAAAACGAAAGATAAAACAAGCAAAAAGTAGATGAAGTGAAACGATTGAAACAGCAAACAAATTCCAAGTGATTACAAAGTCCAACAAGTAGCTTCACACAGTAATAACGCTTAAATATTTTGTCAAACTTCTTAAGTAGGGAGCAGTCGGTGACATTGCAAAGTGTTCCAAACTTTTTCCTTGCAACTTGAGGAAATGAGAATGTCAAATAAGGAGGGCGGGAGACTTGGGCGGCTATTTCCGCCCAATGAGTATCCCGCCCGCCCTTTCTAAGAAAGTTTACTTTTTGTGAAGGGCAGAGAGTTTTATTCAAAGTTACTAGAGGACAACGACTTTTGAAAAATTCTCGTACATACTTACGCAAAAAGTTTACTTTTGCGATTATCCTAATTTGTAGAGGTAGTATCATGTCAGATGATTTATATTTTATTAAAGCCAGTTTATAATGTTTAGCGTTCAATTCTAATTGTTACAAAAGCTATAAAGTTGAGTTTAAACCGAGCACAAATAAACAAACCGATAGCCTATTCATTTCCCGGCGGCGTTTATTATTACAACTATTTTATTACGTTTCATAAATTAAAATGAAAGCGCTTTATCTAATTCTCTAATCAAAATTGATATTTATTTATATTCATATTCATATTCATTAATTTGCATACCATAATGTGAATAAGGTGTTACAATATACGCTTAAAGCTAAGATACATTTATGGACCCCGCCATTTAGTTTTGGTTTAGTACAATAGTAGAATTAATCGTAATGTTTGTAGTAGTTGCAATACTCTTGATTTTTTAGATGATCAGTGCCTGACAGCATGGCATTTTGGATTTTATTACATTAGGTTCGTCTCAATAGGGTTATTGACTCGTGTAATAAGGAGTAGTCAAAGGTGCACTTCTTCATATGTTTCTGTGGGTGCACATGTATAATGTAGCATCCAACAGTAATTTCATGTCAGTCATGTCACTTGATAAAAGTCGACGTATGGACGTCCAGTAAGTACTTACAATCAGACTCAGTGCTTAAGAATATTTGAAACACCTAAAACATACATTGCATGAATTCCATAATCTGCAGATACTGAGAATTTTAGAAATAATAATAATTTCTTATGACATTGGTTGAATAGGGGTCTATTACTGGAAATATTCAAAGAATGAAAACAAACAAACAAAATATTTACTCTAGCTTACATATAATCGTCTCTTGACCCTTTGAAATGCTCAGTGTTTATTCAACTATTTTCAACCTAATCCAGGGCACTAACTGATCGACTGTTTGCTAAAGGCTAAAGGACTATCTATTGTCTTAATTACTTCTGGTGTAGATTCTTTGTTTTTTAGGATCCTATTTATTGAACAATTTTAGTAACAGATTTGCTCTCATATAGTAAATGACATAACCGGTGAATTGTGTTTCAGAATGTATAGGTGTATCATTTTATTGATATAGACTTATAGAGGAACAACCAATAAATTATATACTTATATCTCGATGATTTTGAAGGTAGAAGAAAATGGAAAAAATATAAAAGTGCTGCTTCTCGCAAAACTCTTGTAGCTCCAAAACTGCATCCACCTTCATAAAATGTAATAAACAAGGATTTCATATTTATTTATTGATTTAAGGACAACCAACAAAGCATACACCAAAAGTCATGATAGGTTTGTTTAACATATTTTAACATTCTATAGTGTAGCCTTAATTAAAGGCTGCCACGACATTCATTATAAAAAACAAGATATTACAACAAAAAAAACAAAAGATGCTGCACTAAAATCGGTTAATTCGTTACCTGAAATAATTATACGATTTTTGTATTTTGTTACCGTTTTTTTTTAAGGGGGGAAAGTCATCGAATGACTTCTCCCACCTGGGTGAGGCGGGAGGGAGTGTCAGACTCTTACTGACTAAAAACCACCCCGTTCCTTCTCCTGCTCGTCGAGCCGGAGCCCCGGTAACCCGTTAGGTTCTCCGTAGCTTGAGTTACGTACCACAAACAGACACACACACAGACATTCCCCTTTATTTACAGGGGGCTACTAAACCAACTATACATCTACCTATAATGAAGACTATGACTACTCCATAATGTAAAATTGGTTATGAGATGCCTAAGACATTTAAAATTTCAATAAGAACCGAATGGAAGAACCAAGTTGACGTGTCCTGTAAAAATAATAATTAAATACAAAAAAAAAAACGAGTATGAGTATGCATCTACGGGGATTCTAAGGCGTCATGTTTATATTATGTTAATCATAATAGTTACCTATCCGTGTTATTTTAAATTTACAAGACAAAACATTTAAGAATAATGATATGAGAAATTATTATGGCATAGTTATGATAGCAAAAACTTTCGCTGATTATAAAATCACATAGCATCACTCCTTTACATTCTTTGTGAACATATACATTACACAATACTATACAACAAAAGCAATACTATTATACTGAAGATATAACCGAAATTATAAACCTAAAAAATACTGCACGTTTGGTGCGGTGGCTGGGTAACTGGCTGCTGTGGAACGAGTCGCGGGTTCCAATTCCCCACGGAACAACTCTTTGCGTGATCCACAGATTGTTGTTCCGGGTCTGGCAGGCATATATATGTGAACTTATACCTCTATGTTTGTAAACGCACCCACGACACAGGAGAAACTCTTAGTGTGGGGCAACTTTAATAAAAAACAAAAGATTAAATAAAATAATTATCAAGTCAAATATTGAACCATAAATACAACATCAGATACGTGGAGTGATTTCCCTTAGCAGAAATAAATGGCCTTTCCTATTTGTACTCTAATTCAATGAAGACTACCGCGTACGAATTTACCAATTCCAGGGAACCAGTGTGATAAGATTTGTTTCCAAGAGCGAATTTGCTAGTGTCAAACCATTGAACATTTATTTATTGACAGCTACAGTGATGGGATTTATAAAACAAGACTACCAGTAACGACTAATATAGTGAACGATAATGCACTCGCTCCTCATATGATATTCACTCAGTTGATTACAATGCAGTGCTGCGTCGGCGCGTCGCCGTAAGCCATAAGGCGTAAAAGTTCTTAAATCTCGGAACCTAGGACCAGTAAATGAATCTTCTTAATGAAGATTAACTTTTGTAATTCCGATTAACATTTTTAGGCTATTTTAAAGTTAATCAGTAAACATTTATATTGGTACAAAAATTGTGTTTGGTTGTTTGCATATTTATATCTCAAAGTACGGGATATAACTTGCCGTGCAGTGGCTGGGCAAGGTTCAGGCAGCTCTTTATGTAATCCACAAATTGTTGTTCCGGATCTGGGTGTCATGTGAATGTGAACTTGTATGTTTGTAAACGAACCCACGAGACGGGAGAAATTCTTAATGTGTAGCAATGTTTAAAACCAAATTAAATACTAAGTCTAGTCTACAAACGATAATAACATGGTAAAACGATCTGCTTCCACTCACCAAATATTCAGATCGCTACCACTTCATAATCATTATCGCTTTATTTACATTGCATTAAGATGTGACCGGTAACGGAGAAACAAAGACAATATCTTAGCAACCAGATCACCCCTATTTCAATTCACAGATGCGAACTAACACTACCCTTTCAAATGACATGAGCGCGTAACAAAGAGGGTTAATTGGAATAATTGGGTCACCGTTAGCATTTCTTAGTTTCATCATTCGTATGTAGTTTTTGAATAGTCTTATTCTGCTATTATGCTATCTTGAATCTATCCCACTATCCCACTATTCCATTACTCAAATAATATCCTATTTTGGTTTAGAAAGTTTTAAAGTCCTGTGTATATGGGGTCACTAACTGAAAAACTTTAATGCTAAGTGTGCGAGAGCCATGGTTCGGTACGAATGGGCCAGATCCACCAAAGTGATACTACAGCTTCACAGAGAACCAAAGTGAAGGAACAACACCATCGACAGCCTATAAGTGGCCACTGCTGACCAAAGGCCATTTCTCGCACGGAGAAGGTTTGAGCATTAATCACCACGCTTTCTCAATGTGGCTTGGTTGTCAAACTTATAATTAGAAATTATACTTAAGCTCGGGTTTTCTCTCGATGTTTTTCTTTATCGTATATCAATAGTGTCTAGATAATCTTATATAGAAAGTATATATAACTCGGAAAAGTCACATTGGTTCTTGCCGTTGGTAGGTTGCGAACCTGCACTCTCATGCTTGAGAAGCGGACATCGTAAACCTCTGGGCCACTGAATTTTAAATTGTAAATATTTATATAAGGAAAGCTTTGATAGCATATTATTTCATCATGTGAGTTAAGTTACCTGAAGACAAACATGTCCCAGCTCTAAAACCAAGTTCCATAAGGTTGGCAATGATCTTGTTACTCCTCTACTATTGCGCGTGCGCGTGTGATAGGCGATGACGGCACCGATTGCTTACCATCAGGTCTGCTCATTTACCGACCTATCCAATACAAAACCTTACTATTCTACTATCCAGCTATACTATCTTACTTTGAAAGTTACATTAACGATAATTTGAGAGGACGTATTTAATAATTATGACATGTATATGTAGCTACTAGCTTCTGTTAGCGGCTTCACCCGCATTTCTGTGGGATAAAACGAGAATGTGTGTTATTTCAGACCATAATCTTCTCCTTTTCCAAATTTCATTCCGACTCCTTCAGCCGTTTTTGTATGAAAGAGTAACAAACACACACACACACACACACACACACACACACACACACACACACACAAACGCGCGCGCGCGCGCGCGCGCACGCAT